CAAATTATGTGTTTTGTAAAGTAAAATAATAGCTGAATCCAAGAACCCTTAAAGCAGATGGTATGATGTTATATCAGTAAGGCTTCTCCTGTAGATTAATCATGAAAAAAAATTAAAATAGCTTTCCCAACCACACATCTCAGCTACTGTAATGTGACTATTGTGCGTGAGCACTTTGCATTGTCAGTGCTGAACTGATACATTATGCAGTTGTTGTTGGGTATAGTTGTGAGTGTGCAGCCAAACCTGTAACCACATCCAAGAGTGACGTAACAGTGTCCTCACACAATCTGCTTCACTGCCACGAGATGATGCAGATTGATAAACCGCTGCAGGTCAGCAAAAACAGTATTTTCCGCTGCCGTTATTCAGCTGTTTTTCTACCATGATAAATGTGTTCCAGAGCGTCAGGCAGCTAAGGGACAATGATTTGTTTCTGTCTCTGCATCCAGCCGTGTCAAACTGGCAGAAAGGCACTAGTGACAACACACGTCGTCTACTTGAGGTGGTGGTTACACATGAAACTAACTACTTGACAGTAAATATTAAAATCAGCTTATATAAATAAATAAACTCTATTTGCAGAGCACTTTTTAAGAACATAATTCACCAAGTGCTTTACAACACACAGAGACAAGGTAAACGACATGTATAAAAAGTGCAGGCAAACACTCAAAATATAACAATACATACAATACAATCACTGTACTAGTAAAACTGATTCAAATGATTAAGATGAAAGTGGAAGATAAAAGTATGATACAAGAAGATTAAGAAAGAGAAAAGAGAGAAGGACAGCAGGTAGTATCAATATGAAAAGGGAAAAGAAACGGGTGAAAATCTAAAAGAGAAATAAAAGAAAATACCTTCAAACCCTGCAATAATAAAGTGGTGAACACAATAATTCATCAATAATTTATATATATATACACACACACACACACACACACACACACACATTAATCTGAAATGTAGTATTCTGCACAATTAGTACTTTTCCTTTTGGTATTTTCACTAACCTCACTAAACTCAGAGATGTTGGCTTTGGTTCCAAGGCTCTTAAATGGTTTAACAACTACTTAACAGGTAGAACTCAATGTGTCCAAACAGAGAGCGACAAATCAGATTTTCCTGAGTTAACTGAAGATGTGACCCAAGGTTCCACTTTGGCTCCTATCTTATCGTCTAGTTTTTATAAATGATTCAGGTAAAGACATTCAAGCCAAATTGCATTTGTATGTGGATGATACAATCGTCTATACATCTGCTTCCTCTTCATCTGCATCACAGGCAATAGAAGAACTTCAGACTGCATTTCAGTTATTACATTACATTTAAGGGATCAAAAATTGTCTTCAAACGCCCAGAAAACAAAGTTTATGATTTTATCAAAGGGTCGCTTACAGAACTTTGACACACTAGGAATTTTTACATCTGATGGTCGATTGGTTGAAAGGGTGTCCTCCTATAAGTACTTGGGAATATGAATTGATGAAAAGCTTTCATTTAATGCACATATCTCTAATTTATTTAAGAGACTCAAATTAAAGATTGTTTTTTATTTTAGACTTAAAACATGCTTCACATTCTCTGCAAAGAAAGAACTTGTGGAAACCACCGTTCTATCTGTGATTGATCATGGTGGTACAGAGTACAACCACGCAGCCTCCTCCACCTTAAAGAGCCTTGATTCAGTGTGTCGTGCTTCACTACGTTTCATCTCAAATGCAAAATCTCTCACTCACCACTGGATTCTTTATGATTTGTTTGGGTGGAAATCATTAAGCATTCATAGACAACAACACTGGTATATGTTCATCTATGAAGCTCTGCTACCAAACTCCCAGAATACCTCAGCACCCTTCTCACTATCAGCTCTAGTAGTTACCATCTGCGTGCCTCAAAGTGGTTGCTTTTAAATGTCCCCCAGATTTTAACCGATTTTTGGTAAAACAGCGTTCTCCTGTCATGCACCATGGTGGTAGAATCATCTTCAAAAAACTCCAAAACTAGACTCCTTCACATCCATCACTGAATTTAAGAGTATCATAAAGAATACAGTAAAAGAGGCATGTCACTGTTTTTCTTGAGAGGCCACTGTCCTTGAATAGCTGTCAATCTGCTTTATTGTTTTACTGTTCATTAATCATTTGTGTATCACATATCTGTTTTATGGGCTGCCAGTTCATGTCCTGGTGGGTGCACCGGGATCTTACTGTGTGGAGTTTGCAAGTTCTCCCTGTGCAGCGTGGGTTCTCTCCGGGTTCTCCGGCTTCCTCCCACAAGGTCCAAAAACATGTTGAGGTTAATTGGTGATTCTAAATTGTCCGTAGGTGTGAATGTGAGTGTGCTTGGTTGTCTGTCTCTAAGTGTAGCCCTGTGATAGACTGGTGACCTGTCCAGGGTGTCCCCTGCTTTCACCCTAAGTTGGCTGGGATAGACTCCAGCCCCCCTGCGACCCTACTGAAGCGTTGTATAGATAATGGATGGATGGATATCTGTTTTATATTAGTTTTTTTTCTTTCTTTTTTTTTTTTTTTCTTTTTTTTTTTTTTACTTTTTATGACTGCTTGGCCAGGTCTCCCTTGTAAAAGAGATTTCTAATCTCAGTGGGACTTCCTGGTTAAATAAAGGTCAAAAAATAAATTCATGCTCATACTTTTGTACTTTTACTTTGATAACAATTTGAATGCAGGACTTTTACTTGTAACAGAGTATTTCTGCACTGGGATTGCGTCGAGCACCCATCACAGTCCCGTGCTCATGGCTTTATAATTGGTGCACACAGAGCAGTGATGTTTTCTCATTAAGATGGTTTTCTGCTTGTAGACGCTGTTTTGTTAGCTCATAATGTCAACATGCATAGTATTGATGTCCACAGGTTTTGAGACTGATTGAACGCAATTTGACAAATTTGTTTCCATGTCACAAAGTCCTCCTGGTGTAATAGTCTGAGATTTTTCAGTATATTGTAACATTTCTCCATTAAACAGTATAAAGAAACCGAGAGCTGTTATATATTTTGTTGACTTTTGGACTCATAAATGTTTTTCATAGTGTCCAAACCCCAAAATCTCTAATAATATTTGATGTAATAGTACATTCAATATCTGCCACCCATCAGTTGTGTGCCCCTTACCCACTGTAGTCGGGGAAACATGAATGATACGTCAGAGAGGACAGAAGGAAAATGAAGAAGTTGATGGCCTAGTTGCAAACCAGTAATTATTTTTAGTATGATTGTTTTGAGCTAAGTTGTTAGCACCGTCACTCCACAGCGAGAAGATCCTCGGTTCACGTCTCGACCTGGGCTTGGGATCTTTCTCTGTGGAGTTTGCATGTTCTCCCTGTGCAGCGTGGGTTCTCTCCGGGTTCTCCTGCTTCCTCCCACAGTCCAAAGACATGCTGAGGTTAATTGGTGATTGGTGTCAAACTTCTTTTGTTTTTTGTTCTTGTTAAGAGACCCCTAGTGAAAGAAAGAACATACTTTGCATTTGAGCACATACATTATTCTGAATATTGAATTTCAGACATGACACAAGATCAGAACTGAAGGGAAACTTGACACACCTATCACATTATCCTTTAGGAAAGTGGGTGCAAAGAAAAAAGTTTAAAAAGCGTTTGAGGGTCTAAATGTATTTTTTCCTTTCAAGACAATCCTCTTCCTGATAATACAATGAAATGAATGCGTAAGTTAGAGTCTTTTGCTGTCTCATTTACAGGCCCAATCTTACGCCATCAACAGGCTTTCAGTTTAGCAAAAGAAAGGTCCAACTATAAACCCCAAGCTAATTACATGGCCTCATTTAGATGGGCAGTATTTTGTGCTGAGGGTGGTGTGCATGAGTGTGTGTCTGGAGCTGGCATGGAGCCAGTACAGGCTGTACCAGTCTGTGATAGCTGGGGTGGGACTCACACAAGGGAGGGAGGAGAGCCGAGGTCAGACGTGGACGACAAATATTGGTTTAGTTTCAAAGAGTTCCACAGAGACCGAGGGAGGTGTTTCTGTTTGCACGCTGGCTCTCCACACAGATGGCTGTGTGTGTGTGTGTGTTGGTAATATTCAACCACATTGGAGTTTTGTTATGATGAAGAAGTGTCTTGGAATATTGCTAAATGTAACAGTTGCCGTCTTATAGAATATAGATTTTGGACTGTAGCGTGAGTGTGTTTGCTTTGCCATGTGGGCAGAAAATAGGAGGTTGGACGCAAAACCTCAACTCCAATGTGATGTGAACTCCATTCTGTTCACTACGCATTGGAAAATAACAGTTCAGATTCCTTTGAAATATGAACTGCACTCACTCACACTTGCTAGAACTGTCAACTTAATGAATGCCATTATGTTGGTTTGTCCAGAGTGGATCCCAGACTTTATCCGTGATTAAACAGTAACAGCAGTTCAGAGTCCTTGTACTTTGCCCTCTCATTGGCTGTATGCTGAATCACATGAAACAGCATGGACAGTGATGTGTGCAATATAATTATAATATTTATTATTATTTAGACTGGATAGGTAGCAAAGTACATATCTTTAAAAAGGGAGAATACTTAAATGTGCTTTGTTATTGCATGTGCATTTGATGGAGTAAATCAACCCATTATAGATTGCACAAAGGAAGTAGAGAAGCTACTCACAGCTTTAAGAAATTTGAATAAAGTTTTAAAGATGGTGAGGAAGATCTACGATAAAATGTAGAACTATTTAGCTCTTGAGGACACAAGAGACCACAGTTTGTATCTCATCTTCTGCCTCCACTCAGTGTTTGTTTCTTTCTCTGTACACACACCTTTCAAAACTTACCTACAAGCTTGGCCAATCAGAAAAGGTTTGGATGTGCCATGTTACAAAAAAACCCTAAAAAATTTCTGTTTAGTTACACAGTAACAACATTCTATGGCCAAGTTTTGTAAAAGCTTAATTTAACAACAGTAGGAGCATAAACCATTTTGAGTCTGTACCATATATTTACATATGCCTGTCTGTTCTTTTTCAGAACGTGTTGGCCAAAGCCTTGTATGACAACGTGGCTGAGTCCCCGGATGAACTGTCCTTCCGCAAAGGTGACATCATGACAGTGTTGGAGCGTGACACACAGGGACTGGACGGCTGGTGGCTCTGCTCACTCCACGGACGCCAAGGCATCGTCCCTGGCAATCGTCTGAAGATTCTGGTCGGCATGTATGACAGTAAACAGCAACAGGCCATTGCTTCCACGCCAGATCTACTTGTTTCCTGTCCCACCTCCCAGGTGCAGCGACCCCTCCCCACTCAGAGCACCTACGCCAAACCAGCACTTGCTCTGTCATCTGCTGCTATTGCTACGTCCTCCTCCGGGTTTGCCACCAAGCCCCTTCCCTCAGCGCAGTACACGTCCATGCACCCAGCCTACTCCACCCCTGGTCCTGCCCAGCCCAACCCTGACTCTGTCTACATGATGCCCCCCTCCCATGGCTCGAAACCAAGCCCCCAAAGCCTATACCAGGTTCCCTCTGGTCCAACTGGACCCCCTGCACAGGCCCAGCCAGGACCCCCTAGCAAGGCTCCAGCTCTGGGACCAAGACAATACCAGCTGCCTGGGCAGGACATCTATCAGGTGCCCCCTTCGGTAGGCCCGGGACCAGGCCAGGGAGCAGCTCCGGCTGGGGGTACAGGAGCTGTCCAGGATGTGTACCAGGTGCCCCCCTCTCTGGATAAGAGGAACTGGGAGAGCAGTAACAAGCCCCTTGGCAAGGTAAGGGAGGAAGGAGAAAGAGGGAAAACAAGAAAAACAATTTGTTTAGACAAATATTATTCGATGCATTTATTTCTATTAGTTCATAGAAGTTGAATGAGGATGAAAGAAAAAAAGAATATATAGCTGATTATACTTTGTAAATATCAAGGAAACTCATGAAGCAAAAGATGCAGACATTTATGGTCATTGTTCCTGACTTTAGCTGTTGTGGATGTCTTTGTATCAAGCATACACACATACACACTTTCTGCTATTGTCAATCTTTGCTGGTATGTCTGTGGTTTTCTGTCAACCTAAAAAGATCATCTTGTTCTTTGCACGGTGTGGTAAGGTTTGCTGATATTATATATATAATATTATATACTGGACATCACAGAGTTTTTTCTGAAGGTGTAGTCAGCCTCCCTGATACCTTTCAAATGCATTTCTCTTGTGTTGTTGTTTCACACAGCTAAGACTATAAAAGTATTTTTTTTTAAAAATAGGCTTAATCAAAAAATTCCAAGACATTCACATGAGGGGGTCCCCAGAATATTTTCTGTCTTGCAAGGGGTTCTTGGTAAAAAAGAAAATTGAAAACAAACAATATAAAGTTCAGTTCCGTGAAGAAGCTCCAAGTGTGCTCTCTCTCTGCTTCATAACGGCCTATCATATATCAGCTTGATAATAGAGTCCCTTTGCCCTCCATCCGTCTCAGCCAGCCACTCTAAACCTTAACCTCCTGCACAGTAGCTTCATCCTTAAGTAATTAAATGAAAAGTAAGCTTTTTTTTTCAACTGGCCTTTATTCATAATAGGTCATTTAAATACTGTCAATAATTACTGATTATATCCATCCATCCATCCATTATCTATACATCTTTTAATCCTCACTAGGGTCACGGGGGGCTGGAGCCTACACTTAGAGACAAACAACCAAGCACACTCACATTCACACCTACGGACAATTTAGAATCACCAATTAACCTCAGCATTCTTTTGGACTGTGGGAGGAAGCCGGAGAACCCGAAGAGAACCCACGCTGCACCGGGAGAACATGCAAACTCCACACAGAAAGATCCCAGGCGTCCTAACCGGGATCTTAACCACGGAGCCACCGTGCTGCCCTTATTGATTATACTGACTGAAAAAAACAAACATCTCATCATGCTAGACTTTTCATCCATGTCACTTAAGCCTGCCCTGAATTGACCTTTTTCATTTGAAGTGTGAGTCAGTTTTAATGTGACTGATACGAGCATTTGTGAGAGTATGAAATAAACATATAAAGTGTTAAAGCTGTAAATGTTTGCCACAGGAGGGTAGTAGCCAACTGAACAGGTAAGGGCCTTTTATACATAAATAAATAACTTTGCTGTGTTTTATTAAAGCAGCTGAAACAACTTTAGTCATACAAACATACACTAAGTGTAAGTCACAGTGGCCCTTAACTTACTTTTTGTGGTTCTGCTCGTACATTTTCCCATCTGTTTCTTCATTTATTGGATAGTTTTAATTCTACTGCTTATTTATTTCAGTCACTGGACAATTATAGACTGACAGGCCACTAAATAAACTGATGCTGTTGTTTACCATACTGTAGCCTAACTTGAGCATTTTATTGGATAGTTACTTATTCGTCCACAGTGGAGCATGAAAAAGGAAGTTCTGATTACAACGGCTTTTGTTTCTTACTTCTTTTGGCACCCTTAATAAATACAATAGTTGCTTTGGATTGAAAAGACCTGTGAAGAATCTCTTTAATAACATAAAGTCCTCTTCACAGGCTTTCAGTTTATTGATATTATAATAATTTATTCGAGCACAGGAAATGGTACTTTGTAAATATGTAACTAGTCCTAACCACTTAAACTAGCTGTGTATTTTTTCACTACGGCAGCCTTTACCAGAATTAACCTGACAGTATTTAATCCAAACTCCTGTAAATTATAAGTGTTACAGGTAATGTAAGTGGCTCAGGTGCCTGTTCAAGTTACAGGACAAACATGTAACAATCAAACTAAAGCAGTGAGAGAGACAAATTCAGCCTTGAAACAGAACCTTTTGTTGTGCACATCAAAAGAGGGCAGTCCATAAGTTAGTTGTGGTTCGTTCAGAAGGATTGATGATAACAGCAAGATGGAGACGAGCAAATACTAATAATAATAGATGCTCAACTCAGAAGACAACGTTTTATGAACATAGACAAAGATAACATCTAATGGTGTACCTACACTGCTCTACATAGTTGTTTTTCTCACTGAATTTACTTTCTATGCCAACAAACTTTATGTTGTTTAATTTTCTTACATCATGTAGATTTCATTTTCTTGAAATAGTTGTTGTAGTGGGGTTCATTTCAATTACAACACAGAGGAAACCAGAGAAACAAAAGTTTCATTTTAAAAACAAAAGCCAGTGGCTGTGACGTGACGATTTCAGCTATTTTGTCTGGTTTCAACCAATACTTTAATCTTTTTAAGGTTAATTCACATCAGTACAGTTTTGTTTTTTAGAAGGACTCCTTTTGCTACTTTTACATCTAGTGTTCACACTAATTCAGCACATTAGGAACCTTAAATAGAGACTTTAGAAACACTGCTTATCCCATTTTAGTATGAAAACTCCAGGACTCCTAATAGCCCTATCGCATGAAACTTTTTCTCATAGAAAACAAAGACATCCGCCTTTCCTACTGGCGTTTTATCGAACATTGATGAAAAATTTAAAGCATTGCTGATCTTGTTGTCTGTGCGAACAGCTGTTCCAACAGTTCCACCTTGTTGCCATCCAAGCAACGGAAGCTCTGGTCTGACTTGTCACCACTGCTGTTTTCTCACCGTAGTATTCTCTGTGATTAAGCAAGCAGCCCTTTGCTTCCTCTTTACACCAACACATGCATGCCCAGTGTACACGAATGATCATGCAATATGCATTTCCAGACATTTCAATATTTCAAAATAAAACCCTCGCCTGGACGACCAATGTTTCTGTTTTAAAACAATGTTTTAAAATGAAAATGTGTTAGTATGGATGTACCCTGAATCCTCACTCCACACCACATTGTCCTGCTGGACTAAAACTAGAGAAGGAAAAGAGCAAGGACAACAAAGGAACAGTGACAAAGTAAGCAGGGGTCTGTGTGTGTGCGTGTGTGTGTGTGTGTGTGTGTGTGTGTAGGACTAGTAAAATAATAAGATTGTTAATAATTCAGCTCTGACTGTGGCTTGGGTGCTTGTGACATGCTGTGTGTACTCTGGGGAAGCCCTCCAGGCTGTGATGCAGTGAGCCATATGTGGAAGCACCATTGTGAGGTGGAGTGTCGTGTGTGTAGGTGTGTGTGTGTTTGTGTGTGTTTGTGTGTGTGTGTGTGTGTTGGTAATGACAGTGATGTTAGGTCCAGCTGCTCCCCTGCTTCTTAACACATGCGATCATCTGTGTTCCTCTGTCTCTAAATGCTTCATAATAAATTGATATGTAGGAGCTGAAATGCACCAGCTAGTGAAATGCTTTACGGTCAGTTCAGGAGCAATGCTGTATTGTGTCCTCTGTGCATATACTAAAAGAGTTTCTCCTCAGACTACACATCTGCTGCTGTTTGCTCAATGCTTTGTAAAGGTTGAATCACAAACCTAAAGTGGAGGGGTTCTCTTGATGATCCATATTGATTATCGTGATCCTTTGGCCCTTTTATCTAGAATATACATTTTCCCAAAGTCCATACAAGATATTCTATGACATAATGCCATAACACTGTGTACTGTACAACAAAGTTTCTGTACAACCACATTGTTGCACCACACGCGCTGTCCAATGGGGGCAGTTGAAATCTCATTTTCCATCCTGTAGCCAGTAAGTAGTTGGTCAAGTTCATTCACTGTTCATTTCAAAGTCTACATTTTAGTGGATGCAACGTCGTTGTCCGAATGCATGTGAAAGCAGCATCAGATGAAATACTGGCAACGTGTAGCAGCCGCTAGTCAGCTGTGTGGCCTGTGCACAGTGCAAAGCCAGATAAAAGTGTGGCTCATGGACAGCAGCAGCTGAGCCCGGCTTTGTTCAAGCAAACATTGGTCAGATGTTGACGTTGTGTTCATAGCCAGAAGTAGTCTTAGTCAGGCGCCAAAACTGTAAAGTGGTTATGAGGCGAAAGGCCAGAGGGTGACCACATCCAACGATGGTCCAAACAGATCCTCTTTTACAAACTGTGAAACGTTATTATTATGCATATTATTGCTACAAAAAAAGAAACTGCATTTAACTTTTTTTAATACAACATTTGATCTTGAAGCATCTTTGATGCAAATAAAACAGTTATGTATGTATGCATTTCCATGTGTAGATTATATTTCTGTTTCACATTCTTTGTACAGGCCTCTGAACTGGCTCTTTTTTCTGTGTAATAGTTGATTAGCTCAGTTGGGTAGGATGCCATGTTAGTAATATTAAGATAAGATAAGATATGCCTTTATTTATCTCACAACATTGTTGATAGGAGCATTAGACAGAGATACACATATACGAGACAGAAAAAAATTTACATATAAATATAAGAAACAGTGCAAACAAAGAGAATAGTGCAAACATTACAGTTGGGGCTGTAATGTCAATTTGTAATATTGTCCCCAGTTACTAAACTGGTAAACCGGTGCTGTATTAAAAAGTTATTTTATTTTGTAAGTTTATTCAAATTTGTAAACATTCATGCATTGTTGCATGTAAAGTGTAATGTATCAAGTCTTCTTTTGTTTTAGTTTTGATGATCATGGCTTATATTTTATGAATATCAGAAATCCAGTATGTCATTTTTTTTTAATATCTCATTTCAAGTTTAAGTAAATTACTATTCAATTTTTAATTGCGCAGTTTTACCAGCGCAGCCGTCTACCTGGAGATTTTAGAGCACTTCCTTCTTCCATCTGCTGACAAGCTTTATGGAGATGCTGATTTCCTTTCCCAACAGGACTTAGCACCTGCCCACAGAGCCAAACTGTTACCAAATGGTTTTCTGACCATGA